ACATATTCTGCTACACTACACTTTGATACATATTCTGCTACATTACACTTTGATACATATTCTGCTACACTACACTTTGATACATATTCTGCTACACTACACTTAGATACATATTCTGCTACACTACACTTTGGTACATATTCTGCTGCACTACAATTTGGTACATATTCTGCTACACTACACTTTGGTACATATTCTGCTGCACTACAATTTGGTACATATTCTGCTGCACTACAATTTGGTACATATTCTGCTACACTACACTTTGGTACATATTCTGCTACACATTGATACATATTCTGCTACACTACACTTTGGTACCTATTCTGCTACACTACAATTTGGTACATATTCTGCTACACTTTGATACATATTCTGCTACACTACACTGGTACATATTCTGCTACACTACACTTTGGTACATATTCTGCTACACTTTGATACATATTCTGCTACACTACACTTTGGTACCTAATCTGCTACACTACACTTTGGTACATATTCTGCTACACTTCTATATATATTCTGCTACACTACACTTTGGTACATATTCTGCTACACTACATTCAGTACATATACTTAATACAATTCCCCCATTCTTCGCCTACTGCACTAGGTACATCAACATATATCAATAATCAAACCACCCACCCCTCCCTCCTTGCCCTACTATGCTACACTCCAGATATATATGCCTGACTATCATTACTACTGCGTTAATATGAAATTATTGTAGGGCGACTTTGTACCATAGCACAGTTTGGTGGATGTTATTACTGTGTGTTGTATATATCAATGTTGCTCTAGTACCTATGATAATGATTTTCTAATTAATTGAAACTGCAACAAGCTGCATTATTTTCATGCTGTTTGTACAATGGAATACAACCTCTACACTTGCATAAAATAAAAAATCTAAAATGTTATTGTGTTCTGTTCTTTCTAGAGAAATGATTGTGGTCTCAAGTTTATGAGGAGTTTAAAAAGACATGTTGGTACAACCAGGATTTCACAAGTGCTGGTACAACCAGGCTATCACGTGCTGGTACAACTAGGATTTCACAAGTGCTTGCATAACCAAGATGCCCCGTTTATATTGGGTCAACCAAGACAAAATCTCATGGCGACGTATTGTGATTGTCTTTAGTTGTGCAACATGCATCCCTAAACTTTTAATTTTTTTCAGCTTCTTTTCAAAACCTTCCTTGGCAAAAGAATTGAATTATACAGTCCCAACCCCTACAAGGGCCTGTGGGCCTGGGCCAAAAGCAGCCTCAAATTAAAAACAAAAAACAGTACAGTAACAGTAAATTCCCGTCATGGATGGAAGTGACTGGAGATTCTTTACCAAAATTGTGAATTTCATGGCCCCAGGGTCTCCTATTTCCTCCGTGGGGAGGAGGTTAAATTTATTATTATCTCTTGTACATCAAGGATGTGACACGTGTTCAAACTACAAAAGTTCTCAAAAACTAACCGCAAACTTACACTGAAGCCCGTTTTAAGCTTACTTTTGTTTGTGTAATGTCATAATTTTCCATCAATGAAAAGTAAATGATAAAGATAGGCACTGTGGCATAAGCTACCTGAAACAAGTCTCATGCATTCTCGATAATTCATGGGTTACAATCACTTTCGCTCTGTGCAGGGGGTATCCAGGATGAGTCTCATAGGGTATCCAGACACAAAGCGAGCAACTCAAGAAGACATTTAATCACGAGGACATGAAACATCTTGCCTGTATATTGTTTCAACTTATTCCGTGAGAAATGGTTATCGCGTGTGCACACAAACAAATGACCTTGACCTTTTTTCTCATTTGCGCTCTGACGATTGTTTCAGTTATCACCAAAAGAAGTATAATTGGTGAAGTGAATTTTGAGAGATAAGAGATGTTGTCTGTACGCCTGTGTAGCTTTAAATGGGTCAGACAGATAGCAAATATACGGAGATCAAGTATCACTCCGTCAACAGTTGGAGACACCAGTACGGCCGTTAGGGTGTCATCGTTATATCCTGAAATCCCAGTAGTAACATCAAATACGGCCGACTTTAGCAGAACTTGGGAGCAGTGAAAACCCACAAATCGGAAATACCGTCCAGTATTTCCTGCGAAAAGAAATAAAAAGAATTGCGAAGTGACAGAGTGTAAACGGATGGTTAACAGGAGAGGAATAATTTGAAAAAGTCATTATGTTTGGTGTTATAGGTACCTCATATATATAGTCTTGTTGGAAGATCTTACCACCAAAACTAGGGAAGATTATTGTCAACAAGAATTCAACTATTTTCACGAATTTCTATTCGAATTTTTCTGTATTGGCTTGATGTTATTTATTTATACTGCCGTTCCCCTTTCTTATAAGAGAAAACCGCCATGACCAGAGAATGAGGGCGTTCCGTTAGCTTATAATGAATAGAGTATGGTAGTGTACTCTTGTGTCAAAACATCAAATGTTCTTATATAATCCATCAGTTTTGTAAGATTATTGACAAACCTATCTATAGTTCCGTCCTAAATGTTCCTATTAGCAGTTAGACTTATTGTTCAATGGTACATAATTAATCAGTTTTGTAAGATTATTGACAAACCTTTCTATAGTTCCGTCCTAAATGTCCCTACTAGCAGTTAGACTTATTGTTCAATGGTACATAATTAATCAGTTTTGTAAGATTATTGACAAACCTTTCTAAAGTTCCGTCCTAAATGTCCCTACTAGCAGTTAGACTTATTGTTCAATGGTACATAATTAATCAGTTTTGTAAGATTATTGACAAACCTTTCTAAAGTTCCGTCCTAAATGTCCCTATTAGCAGTTAGACTTATTGTTCAATGGTATATAATTAATCAGTTTTGTAAGATTATTGACAAACCTATCTATAGTTCCGTCCTAAATGTCCCTACTAGCAGATAGACATATTGTTCAATGGTATATAATCCATCAGTTTTGTAAGATTATTGACAAACCTTTCTATAGTTCCGTCCTAAATGTCCCTAAATGTCCCATCAGTTTTGTAAGATTATTGACAAACCTTTCTATAGTTCCGAGATAGACATATTGTTCAATGGTATATAATCCATCAGTTTTGTAAGATTATTGACAAACCTTTATAGTTCCGTCTTAAATGTCCCTACTAGGAGATAGACATATTGTTCAATGGTATATAATCCATCAGTTTTGTAAGATTATTGACAAACCTATCTATAGTTCCGTCCTAAATGTCCCTAAATGTTGTTCAATGGTATATAATTAATCAGTTTTGTAAGATTATTGACAAACCTACTAGCAGATAGACATATTGTTCAATGGTATATAATCCATCAGTTTTGTAAGATTATTGACAAACCTTTCTATAGTTCCGTCTTAAATGTCCCTACTAGGAGATAGACATATTGTTCAATGGTATATAATCCATCAGTTTTGTAAGATTATTGACAAACCTTTCTATAGTTCCGTCTTAAATGTCCCTACTAGGAGATAGACATATTGTTCAATGGTATATAATCCATCAGTTTTGTAAGATTATTGACAAACCTATCTATAGTTCCGTCCTAAATGTCCCTACTAGGAGATAGACATATTGTTCAATGGTATATAATTAATCAGTTTTGTAAGATTATTGACAAACCTATCTATAGTTCCGTCCTAAATGTCCCTACTAGCAGATAGACATATTGGTATATAATTAATCAGTTTTGTAAGATTATTGACAAACCTATCTATAGTTCCGTCCTAAATGTCCTTACTAGCAGATAGACATATTGGTATATAATTAATCAGTTTTGTAAGATTATTGACAAACCTTTCTATAGTTCCGTCCTAAATGTCCCTACTAGCAGATAGACATATTGGTATATAATTAATCAGTTTTGTAAGATTATTGACAAACCTATCTATAGTTCCGTCCTAAATGTCCCTATTAGCAGCTAGACTTATTGTTCAATGCTATTTTATTGAGGAAATATCCGATGAAGATATTAATTCTAAAAAATATCAGAAAAATATCGAGACAGAAAGGTTTCGATTCGCTGTCGGTAGAAAATTCCTAAGACGGGCCTTAACACTATGACATAAGCCGAGACTTTCAACCGAGTTTAAACATAACTCCACCTTTGCTGGCTATCTGCCAACCCTAACGTGGCATATTAGAAATGACAGGTAACAACTTTGATTTGGTTATTTTAAGCCCGTTGTAGAGGGCGCCTTACAGCAGGTAGGTTCATATTTCTTTGCCGATTTTTTAAAAAAGTTTCCTAAATACCAGATAGCTAGGATTTAGTGCTCTTGTCGTTGTTGCTGTTGTTTACTGATCTGTCGATATTCAATTATTGAACTTATTAAAACCAGCTAGATATGCCCTCGTTCACATATGTATATACACACAGGTTAGCGGTTTATAAATTATTATAGAGTAAATAAACTTAAATTACACATATCTCACTTAAGTATGATGTCGGATGAATATTAAATATAATTAATGCAGAGATAACTGAATGTCTCTTTTTTTCAGTAAAAGTTGTTCATTTTGAAGTTTTACTCTTTTGGTCGAAATTTGTATAAAAGGTTTTCTCAAAGGTCTTTTCTCATTCCATGGTAATGCCTGGCTAGGTTGACCTGTAATACACATAGAACTGGTTTTATTCGGATTTGTTGGCCTAAGAATTGATAAAATTAAAAATAAACAGATAAAATATAAATAAATCATATACATGTATACTCAGTAAACAAACAATTGTAAAAAAGATACAACTCCTCAAAAAAGAACAAAACAAACAAACAAAGTTAAAATAATAGCAATAATAATATGCTTAAACATTTATGTTAAGTGACCATGTCAATACATCGTGTTGATGTGGTGAATAAATGAATGTGTATACGTAATATCTTATTTAATATACAGATAATTTCAAAATGATTAAGTACATGTAATCATTTATAATTATCATAAAACACAAAATTTGTACATATAATTTCAGGTAGACAATCAAAATAATTGCGATGGAATGCGAACAAAGGAAAAGTGAAATTAGGAACAAATCCGCCCTGAAGAAAAACAGAAGTCGGTCTGGAAGTAGCATATTTAGCTGTACTAAAGGACAACGGGATGATTCTATATCTGTTGACAATTTGGAACATCAGTTGGAACTAAAATCACGAGAGAATGGTGAACTGAAGAGACAGAATGACGAATTGAAGAAACAGGTTAAAAAAATGGAGAAAACATTTATGACCATGATGGAAAAGATGGAAACCACCGTGATATTACAAAATTGTAAAAATGTGATGATGAAGGACGACGGCGTATTCCTCGTGGAGGAAACTATGGATACTACAAAATTAGACCTGTACATAGAAACGGTAACCAAGGCCCTCAACAGTGCTGCGGAGGAAAAGAGCCAGTTAGAGGTCAACGTTCGACGTCTAGAAGTAAGTTTTTTGTAGAAACCGTGGTCACTGTGACACTATAAAATAATTTTGAATCAATTTATCGTTGTTGTAAAAACCTTGCATATGCTGTACAAACTGTTTTTTCCGTGGGGTTTTATTTTCCACTATCTATAAAGATGGAATAAAATAGCAAATGCTATATAACTTGAAAATAAAAATACAGTAGAAAGCCTTGATAAGTTTTATGACTTGTGTGAAAATTATCTTTTTTACTTCATTACCTCGTTAAAACTGTGCATTACAATGACTTTTGAGATGACCCCTGGGATTTCCAAATCTATTTTTAAAGAATTACTTCATTGGAATTATAAATACAACTCAATGTTGTTGGTAACTCTAAGGAAATACCATTTGATTTTGTCATATATCCACTGATCAGCACATGATTTACTAAATAAAATGTCAGATGTGACCCTAACCATATTTCATGTACATTTAAAATGCTTTCATCGCTCTTTAATTTAACATTGCCTTGCACTTTGTATTCGGACGCAGTCAACTTTAAAGCAAATAAAAGATAACTTCACAAGTATATTAAATTGTTAATATTCAGAATCATATCAACGTCATAAATTATGGTAGATGTTTTATTCAAACCTTTTATACTGGTCCGAATCCCAGTACTCATCAAAGATACCAGTCTTGTTGGTTCACTACACACATCAAAAGGAATTCAGTTAGAACAGGGACGTATATATGTTATATATGTCTCTAGTTAGAAGCATGTTACCTTGTAAGAAGAACGAAACACACTCTATCCAGAGACATATATAACGTTATATACGTCTCTGCTCTTTCCCTATATATTTATTTTCATTATTTACAGCACATATTTAATTTATCAGATACTTATGTTTACTGAAGTCATAAAAAAGAAAGTTAGTGAATGACGAAAGCATCATAATGCTGCCCAACAGGGGCGATGATAAGAATCAAGTTACGCGTGCATAGTAATTTTTACCGTATCAACAGTGTTAAATTCTACCGTGTATCTTTTTCATAAAAAGGAAAATTGATCTGACTGAGAGAGGTTGTGGAGTTCTTCATTCATAATAAAATAAATTGTGATGTTTCATAGGATTAATCTGATACACTCGCTGTTTCAAGCCCTTCTTTATCAATAGCGGTAAGCTGTTACTTTTAACTTTATACAAGTGACATAATAAAACGATATGATGTTAATTAGGTCACGGGCCGGAGAACCGTACCCCTTCCATCCTCGTTACTCCAGGGGTTCGCTCTCTGTACCCCTGGAATATGTCATGGCAAAATAGAAGGCACAAGCGAAGTAATTTGATTGATTCCGACAGGAAAAAACTGACCAATCACAGGAAAGGAGAGAAACCCAACTTCAAAGCCATTGCAATCTACCATTATGTGACCGCAATTTTGTGTGTTTTGATGTTTATCAAAGGATCAAATTAATCTTTTCGTCTTGTCCACATGGTGTCGCACATGGAACGTTTGATTTTGCCATGACATGTTCCAGGGGTGCTGAGAGGGAAAGTAATCTTAACCCCCGGAGTATCGAGAATGCACCTCTTTATCCGTGGTGAAAACGTTTTTGTTTACATGTTTACATAGCAGGTTTAGACGAATTATAGGTACTCATCCAATATCAGTCATAATATCGGTGATACCAACCTCTCTATTAAGATTTGAAATGTGAATATGATTGAAAGAAGAATTTTGCTTAACCTATAAAAACTTGGTTGTTTGGAAATACAAAACGTTCACTATCTATATCGACAGAAACTCGTTAAAGAGCAGAGTGGATTTTCAGCAATGCTAACCTATGTGGTCTTTTCCTTATTCAGTTCTGAGTGAAAAATAGTGAGCATACGATTTTTGAAATAACTTTGTTATGTGACGACTTATCTCAAATGCCAAAGGAAACGGTGTGTCAAGTGAGACATAAAAAGGGGAAAAGGTCTTCAAAGGCAGCAGTTTGGACTTCTGGGAAAATAAGATTCGTTAGGGGTTTTGATTGAACTATTAAAATTAAAAGCGATATATTTAGCACGACTAAGCCACCTGGTCCCGGCTGTTCAACCATTGGTTAGTGATTTCTTTTGAAAATACAAATTTAACAAGATTAGAAACATTTTTCTAAATATATCATAGCTTTCTTGTTGTTGTGTTAGGCCAGATTTTAAAATGAATTGTTAAATTTGACATAACACTCATTTTTCACTAACCACATCGATATTAACTAACTGTTGAACATCTGGGGCCTGACATGTACATATGTATGTCAACTACAAGTAGAATATATCGGTCTAGAAGTATTTAGAGGAATTTGCATAAACCATCCACCGAATCCATTTCGTCCCTAGTTAAACCACGTTTTTTTTTAAACAACAGAGTCCACGAAGTCACGTGACAAGTTTGTCGAAAATATCTGAAACGTCAATTAATCCTATCTTATCACGTTCGCTCAAACAGAGAAGGAGACTTCATCATTTCCCGTAAACCTCTGGGTTGATTCTTTAATCCATGTCCTGATGAATCATAGTCTCGGCTATTTGTACAGTACCAATCAAATAATTAAACTATTACATAGAGGAAGATTTCCTGGTGAAATGTCAAAAGGTTTACGCTAAAACGTGTTTGTTTGGTAAATTTTACCCCTGAGGCCTGGTCATGTGGTAAATGCTGTTACAATTCTTTTACAGGAATCTCTTGACAACGTGGAAAGCAAAGTCAACGTGATGGAGTCTCACTTCAGTGATCTCAATGCAAAACTGACACGAGATTTCGCCAAGGTCGCCAAACAGTTGACACAACACAACCTGGACATTGCTGATCAGTTTAGCAGTTTGAGGACAATATTCCAAAGGGCTCAAAGAAGTAGAAATCTGGAGACTGCAGAAGGAGATGAAAGTCGGATAATTGAGGAAGGGATCAATTCCATACGAAACTGGAGTAAACCAAACATGGCGGTGACGGCTTCTACACTTCCGGTTCCTGCCGGAAAACTTAACAAGATGCTCACAGAAAAATATGGTAAGCGCAAAAATTGTAATTTGTGTTAACATTATAACATAATTTTAATGTTTGTGGATCTTGACCACGGTTTACTATCGTGGTAACACTTTAATATCAATGTTTGTGGAAAACAACTTTTTGTGAAATCCATCCATGGTACAAGCGTTTGTAGTGATTAATTACAATCATAGAATATTTTGTTTACTTTAAGCGTTACATATATTAACTCAAAGATTTAGGCAGATACCTATACTATCGATATGTCAACATTAAGTTTTATACGAATTTCTTTTATATATTCATCAACATGATAATCTTTCGATTAAATTATTATGATATATAAGTTAATCGAATGCAGACCGATATAAAATAGGTAGATAGAACGACCGAATGATTGCTAGTCGTGTATTTGTTTCAAAGGTAAGGTTCCCGTGCTGTTGGAGCAGCTATTCACGTCCAGTTCCGAGGGTTACTACAATTCTAACGACACCTTCGATAACACAGTGGCTCGGTGGATGGTAGGATGGGTGCGTAACAGTACAGAAAATACGGCAGACCTTCTACAAAGGGAACTCAACGATCTCTACGTTGTCACGTATGTACACAATTTATTTCTCTTACTGAAAAAATTATAAAAATAAATTGACAAATCATGGTTCGTTTTGACCAAAATTAAGTCAGTAAGTGCTGCACACTAAAACGAGTAGGGATATACATCAACAATTTGATGACTGCAACACAAACACTGTAGCAGATTTAGACTAGAATCGAAATTTGCTAAATTAAACGAAGGAAAAACATTAAAATAATTTGTTGTTATCATATTCTTTATCTAATGTGACATTCATGTAAACAGTTAGTGCATGGTTTTTCTTCGACCTCGAAAAAGTGTGACCATGTATGGCACTTTAGTGTTGGAAAGGAATAAATGTCCTTCCCCTCAAAACGTGTTTACGAATAATTGGTTTATGTTTCTAGCATATATATGTATTCCTTAACCAAATGTTCTAAATCTCAATGTTCTGTTTACCTTTTCAGTGACAATGAAGGCTGAAACTACTTGTCACTCTCGGAAACGGAAGGAATCTCACCCTGCTGAGAAATCGTTTGTCCCAGTGTTCGATGTATGGGGGTTTAGTTATTGTATCATTCCATATACTCATACATTGTCACCGAGTAGGGCAGCTTTATTAACGGGTAGCCTAATTACCAGGTAGCGTAATTACTGGGTAGCCTAATTAATGGGTAGCCTTATAACTATATAAAACCTTCAGGCCTGTTTATTAGCAGTTCATAGAAGTACGTAATAAAATGATATATCCTAATTGATTTTTTTATCACAAAGATAATTTTTTTTAATTCCATCCTTAATTTTGATAGTATTTTATGTGATTGGCGGGATCGCTGATCCGGTATACGGTATATCACTAAGTTTATTCAGAATTCCAAGGACGTCAGGATATCTGTTCCTCTGTTAACACGATTTCTTTCGTAAAATAAGACAGGTTTTGTTTTCCTGATTAAAGGCATAGATTTAAAACCAATGAAAATACCATCGTGTAAACAAACCGATAATTGTGCCTCACAATCAATATAACGAAATAGAAAGGAAAACAAATAAATTATTATTTACATAACCTTTGAACAGGCACCTGAAGAACGTTCAGGGAGGGTTAATGTCTCCAGGTCATACGTCCATGTAAACCGTGGTAAGTACTTTACTAAGAAATTATTTGACGAGGTTATAATGACAACCATACAGCATTCTCTTTTATCATTAACCCTGTGTTTCCCGTCAGCAGTCCACGTTTTTCATAGAAAGCGTGATGTTCACTCGCCATTGGCCTTCTTCGCATAATTTATATGTGTTCCAGCATTGTGTGGGTAATAGGTTCGGCTGGTCCACTGCCCTCAGCTGAAGACATCTGCTGTTCGGTTAATTACCGTATGATAGTAGCGGGTAAAAAAATAATCTGTCCCTTTAAATTACATGGTAATTACACAACATTATCACACCTACACACTGTTTTGACTTACCTTCTGTACATATACATTGTATATACACCACACTATCACACCTACACACAGTTTTGAGTTACCTTCTGTACATATACATTGTATATACACCACACTATCACACCTACACACTGTTTTGACTTACCATCAGTACATATACATTGTATATACACCACACTATCACACCTACACTGTTTTGACTTACCATCAGTACATATACATTGTATACACACCACACTATCACACCTACACACTGTTTTACTTACCATCAGTACATATACATTGTATATGCACAATATAATCACACTTACACACTGTTCTGGCTTACCATCAGTACATATACATTGTATATGCACAACACCTACACACTGTTTTGACTTACCATCAGTACATATACATTGTATATACACAATATAATCACACTTACACACTGTTCTGGCTTACCTAGTACATTTCTGTCATAAGATTTAAAAAAATTATATCTCATTCACTGTCTCAAACTAAAAATATGATTATTACCTATTTAAAGACAGGCGACACCTGATCTCCATCTAGTTACTGCCTGGACCATAGTCTGTCTCCAATATAAACACTGTCTCGTATCAACGATATTTTTATCCTATATAACATTATTTAAACACCTTAGTGCAATTTCCAATAAATAGCGTTTGTTTTCTTCTTTTTAAAGAGTGCAATCTTGTAGCACTGAATTAAGCATAATCCAGAGAGAGAGAGAGAGAGAGAGAGAGAGAGAGAGAGAGAGAGAGAGGGAGGGGGGGGGGGGGGAGAGAGAGAGAGAGGGGGGGGGGGGGGGGGGGAGTTTGACTGTTTCAAGAGAGGAAAGCTGTAATTTTCATTATATGTTTTTTCAGTACGAATCAGCTGACAGACAACACTTGATTAAAACCGGTATCTTTTATTAGAAATGTTTTTTTTCTCTGTAGTCGTAGTGTTAATTTCACGTTTCGTTAGAAATCACGTTACACGTTATTTTCTTACAACTTTGTACTTAATGTTTGTGTTTAGTAAAGGATTTGTGGTGATGTGTTATAGGTTACAGTAGTATAATGTTGCATAGAATAATTTGATATCGATTAGATTTTTTAAGTTTGTGGTTTATTGATAGTTAGTAAAAGACTTTGTAGCGATTTTGTGTTACAATGTAGTTAGTAGAGACTTTGAAGAGATTTTTTGTTACAATGTAGTCCGCAGAGACGTTGTAGAAATTTTGTGTTACAATGTAGCCAGTAGAGACTTTGTAAAGATTTTGTGTTACAATTTAGACAGTAGAGACTTTGTAGAGATTTTGTGTTGCAATGTAGTAAATGGAGACCTTGCAGAGTTTTTGTGTGACAAAAAAGTTAGTAGAGACTTTGTGTTACAATGTAGTTAGTAGAGATCTTGTAGAGATTTTGTGTTACAATGAGTCAGTAGGACTTTGCACGTAGAGATTTATTTTCAAGAAAAAAAATGTTGATAGTATTGTTTTGGCAATAAAGACTTTGTAGTAATTACATTTCGGTAGTTTTTTTTTTATTCAAATAACAAATTAGTTTGGTTTCGGGCTGGAGCAATGTTAAAAAGAAAGTCCCTTCCAACAGACTGTTAATATATTGTAAATAAATCATCTTACCATTTGATTATACTTCCCATCCGATGTCGACATTTCTGGACAGATTCATAGTCGTAATAATTTAAATGTTTAGCGAAAATATGCGAAGTAAAGTTTGGTATATACATGTTTTACAAAGATACCTTCTGACAGGAATCGTTCACATTTTCTGTGTACGTAAGATTTGTACTCTGAAGTGGAATGTTGGAAAATGGTGTTTGCACATAAATCTACTTATGTTCACTAATTCGTAATTCATGATAAAATTGAATTGGCTTTACATCAAGATTGTATATATCATTAATAGCGTAGTATTAACCTTTTAATTAGTATAGAATGTAAATACATACTAATTTGTTTAAATTTGTGACAAAAAGATAATGAAGATATCACATGTGTAAATGACATACAGTTAATGACTCTCCATCAGTTATCTCCCTTCTTGTGGATGGAATAAAATTGAGACAAATAGTTCATCGAAAATATCATTTATATTATTAATAAAGAGAACCGTTTTACTTTGCTTTTTGTTAGAAAAAGAATACATACACTTTTGTCACTAACCATATACATTGATAGATACGAGTATAAAAATCAAATGTCATTAAGACGCGAAATTAATCATTGGAAACACAGGATTATTCAAATAAATACTAATTTTTTTCCTTTTACACTAATAGACATTGTGCATTACTGATTATGGGCCAGTCAACTACTTTTTTAAAAGTTTGATTAGAGTTATCTCCCTTGACAAAAAACCTGCAATATCATTAGTTTCTCTTTGGTTAAAATACCATAACAAAGTGTAACGAACGTTATTTGAATGTATAAAATAAAAAAGCATTGCAAATAAATAATGATTATTTGTGATATTCTTAATTTTAATTGCCTCAAAATCATAAAAAAAAGACCTCAAATCAATGTAAAATCAAAGAAATCAAAACATTTTCTATCAAAAATGTAAATATTTTCATTCAAATATATGGAATAATACATGCTTAGCTGCATAAAAGAATCATCTAATGAAATATCAGATTGGAAAGAACCACTGTGTACAAAATACAATCCTCAATACACAAGGGATAGAACAACACAGTTTCATCAAAATTCTAAATTGGAATGATTAAGAAATTGAGGGCTTATATTTCTTTTTATAAAATGTATAAAAAAGCATCACTACATGTCATTATTATCATGTTAAAATACGAAAATAATATCATGATGATCCTGTCAGATGACAAGCTAAAACAAACATGTTGATGTATGACCAAGCTATGAAAATTGATCAATGGAAATTCCATGTACATGCCACAGGATTTGGTGATATTAATAAACAATACTTTAAAAAAAAAAAAAAAAAAAAAATTTTTTCCTTTTTTAATATGTGATTAGCTATAATTAATGTCCGTATAAAAATCTTATAGGTAAATAATCAGTGATAATACTTACCATTCTAGAAATAGGGAAATATATCAAGCATTGTTGTTAATTTTCAGAGAAATAAAATTCTGAGCAGTACCAGTAACGTTAGATATAGTCATTTTCAGTAAAGGCTAGTTCCTTTATGCATGGAATTTGCCCCGAAAAGAGGTAGTATATATTAAATATACGACCATATGATGTTTTCAGAGCTCATGTTAAGATACTTGACATGTTCTACAAAAAAAACAGCATATGCAATACTAGGCCGACTCCTTACAGCAATTACCTCCCTTCTTGACCTTTGACATCAAAACCTTTTGACACAGTCAGTTTCCGTAGCAGCCGTATTCTAGAGATCAATGAAATTACATTTATTGCGACAAAGAATATGTGTACAAATTATGATATCACATGTTGCACGAGTTGGCACTTTGCATACATTTATCATCTACACGTAAACAAGTAGACGCTGGTTATGTGCCGGACTATTTACTTACGTGTATGGAATGCGCCGAAGGTTCCCGATTGTGACGTCAGTGGTTGTCAACCAGAAAAAGTTGATGTTGGCGGGAGTTCCGGTCTGAGCTCCCCAGAAAATCTCCAGAAAACGCCAAAAAACATAGCAAAACAAGGAAAAAGGGAAAAAGGTGAGTACATAACAAAGTTCTTAATTGCACTATTGCTTTATTTTAAGTCATAAAGTTGATATGATATCAGAATGTTGATTAAGATTGATGTCGATCATGTCGGAGAGCAGATGGGCGGAAGTGCTAAGAACAGGACAATAATCCTAATTTATGGTCTTAATATTCGGTCTCAAAATATTTTTAGTTTGAATTTCATTGCTATTTGATCGGGTGATTGATTTTTTTCACGAGTTTTTTTATTTGTTGTTCATAAAATTTGTTTTTTGAGACTGATCAGGCAGTTGGTCCGATCACTTAGGCTTTACTGGGCCTAAGCCTAAATTTACGGAAATTAACTTCAGACTGTAGATTCCTTTGGGTAATAGATATGTATTTAAGGCAAAAATCCTTTGTGTCAGGTTTTGGTTTCCTTTAAAAATCTCTCCAAAATGTTTTATTTACACAAGATCTGATTTGTTGAAATATTCAAGATGAACTCGTCTGTTGTGGACTGTAGTTTTGTACCTAAGGTTCACTTTTTATCTAAATATTATTCTTCAACTTCTTTTGGGTTTTTAATTGATACATGCCTATTCCATAATATTCTCTTGCTTCCTGATTATACTGGGTAAGTGAGACTGGAGGAGTTGGCCAGGAGCAGCACTGAAAACTACTGAGATCAGACAGTGAAACATACATCTAATATATACTAACATTTTCTCTGTTCACTGTCATCATTACAGCTACTATCTACAGATTTATATCGATAACACTTTAAATTGCCTTGCATTTATTATGTAAGTATAGATTCCATAAACCAGAAATACTTGGCTTAACAACTGAGATTCACACATGTAAAATTAGAGAAAAGAAAGAAAGCAAATGGTATCAGAGGGAAGATTACTCTTCAGTATCTTTAATTTACAGGTTCACTTGTTTTATGTTTTGTGTGTGTGTGCTTTACAGATTGTGTCTTAAAAGAACAGTCATATGAATATGAATATATTTTTGGTGCTAACATCTTTTTCGATGTTCCAACATACTGTTTTCTTTTTAACCAATTATACTATGATAATACCCAACCATGTATTCTTAATATACAGATACAATTGTATCTATCTTTTGGAAAAACTTGTTTATTTTGTGAACTGATTATATATTTCTCTGCATTCAAACAGAAAAATTTTAACTCCCTTTTATCATAACATACATATGTATTTTAATGTTTTAATTTATTTAATATATATTTTGAATGTTAAGAATTTGACCAAATTGTCCAAATTGACATTTTTCTTAAAGACATTGACTTACATTTTTTTACAAACTTGTACCCGAAATATGTGGAATTGATTGTTCTCCTGTTAAAGAAACAATTTTGTTCCTATGATAACTTTGCAATATTTCAATATATAAAATTCCTCATCATGCTTCATTGACTCTTACAGATTTGCCAAGATGGTATTGAACCGTGGCCATCACCGAACTGACCAAGAGTCAGTGTCGGATGGTAAAATCAACGAAGGAAATCGTAGATCTCAACTTCCCCCTCTTCAAGAGCCAAGGACAAGCCTTAGGTCATACCCTCCTCCAGAAGCAGGAAGGAGAATTGTGTTCCCCACTCAGCCAGACAACAAGAGGCAACACCCTCCCACTGAGGCCAAATGCCCCCCACAGGGCTTACTGCCAAAAGTACAGGGCACCAACAGGGGTACAAGCAAATGTGAGTAAATAACACAACTGACAAGTAGCATTTGAATGGATGAAAAGATTTGGATTTAATTATTGGATTACAAATATTTGCTGTGAATGAAATATTAAGCATTCATGGAGGTCACAATATTTTTTTCAGATTGTAACTTAGTTTTAAATTAATTGATCCTATTGTTAAATTTCAAATGATATCTAAGTGAATGATCCTTTTCTGATCTCTAGTCAAGGGATATGTTCCTGGCCTTACTGTCAGAGATGCAGAGCGCCAGCCAATTAAGGAAGACCTTTCCTACATTGATAAGGCAATGGGCAAACCAACAAACCTTTTCCCAGATGTTAAGGTATTTATTTTCTTTATGGTAGATATTAGTTTGATAATCAGCTATATTACTGATAATCTGCTATGCTACATCTGGTTAATACTTTTGATAGTGCACTCGTACTCTCTATCCTGTATTTTGCATGATGGCCTTGCTGTGAGATATTCCATTTTAGTTTTGTTTTGCGTAGAGTAATCGTAGGAATCAATTAAGTTAAGTTTGTCACTATTAAAAATATAAATGATGCAGTCCTTATTCTATGTTGTAAATCTCGCACTCATCATCTTTTGTATATGTCTATCAGGATGGACAGGGGATTGCTACTCGCCATATGCAGAAGATCAAGATGAAGCCAAAGGCACTGATCACATTTGAGGTCATTGAACAGCATGAGCCCCAGCCAGATAATCGCTACAATGACGTAAGTTCTTTTTTCTCTGCAGTATTAACAGTCTTAGCGTGATGTCTGATTGTTTTAATGTGTAATTCAGCAATCCTTGTAGATATTGTTTTATTTTTTAATTGCAAATGTTATTCTACAACAGCCTGTTTCTGTAAAAAGGAAAAAGTCTACAAGATTTGCTTTCCAATATGGAGGATGAATTGCTCTATTTGGAGAGAGCAAATATTGATATATCATAATAAGATAGCAGAAATAAACTATATTTGACTTTAAATCAGGGCAAAAATAAACAAGGCAAAACAAACTGAATATATGGTTTCACCTTCACTTATGTGCAATTAAGATGGCCAATTTTGATCAAACTGTCTCCATGAATGAAGCTGGTTGAATGCCAACAAGGATTTACTAAGATAATAATATTGATCTTGACCTTTACCCTACAATCCCGAGACTCCAACTCATCCCAGATAATGTGGCTTTTTATTTATGTCTGAAGTTTGATCATAAACCCTCAAGAAATGAAGCAGCTAGAACACTAACACTGATTTTCTTAAACAACCTCAAATTCAAACTTTCAGCTGCCTCGTATCCAGCCAAAAGTATCACCTCGTAACATCAGCCAGCCCAAGATATCGCCTCGCATTAGCAATCAGCCAAAGATGTCTCCTCGCTCTAATGAAGGCAGGGTGAACACCCCACCAAAAGGCGAGACACGAGCAGGAGGACAGAAGCTACCTTCTCTGGCAGGAGGACGTCCTGGCACAAGCAAAGCTCGCCGGGGTGTCCCAAAGCTTGGCTACTAAATCACATACCTGTACTGACCACAAGGGAGACAACTTCTCTAATTCATATGTCAAGAAGATGTATTATGAAATAATTTTCTGTTAAATTAGTATGTCAGTCTTATTTTAAGGTTATGATGCATGTTAAAGATAAGCTTTATCGGAGAATACTTTGAAACTTTTTTAAAAACTCTACCAAAATAATTGAATTGCATGGAATGTACGTTCAGAAGAAATCTTATGAAAAAAACATTGTGATAGTCTCCTTGTGTGGAAAGTTGCCCAGATTTATTACCTCCTCATTCTGGGTAGTGTGTGTTTTACCTTATCGGCTGGATCTGTACATGGCTCACGAGTTTGGATCAATGGATTTTGGTGTTTGTCTTTGCTTAAGTAATATTTATGCTTGAGTAATACAACACTCCAAACACATATCTTGCAAATGATGTTTGGTTGCATAGAGCTGATGGATTTTTTATTCAAGGCTGCATTGATGCAGTTATATTTTTTATTATATATAATTGTATGTTTTTTGATGGAATACTTTCCCAACTTCTGTAATTGTTGTATCAGATATTGCAATTTACATTGCTTTTGATAAGAAATCTTTAATCTGTATACACTATATCAGTAATTGTGCAAGGCACACATTTATTTGTGAAAATGTTCATTGTTGTAGTCATGTGTACATAGTAGCTTCTCTTGTACGGATCAATACTTAGCATATACAGGGCCACATCAAACAATGTTACTGTACACAGTTTCACACCAAAATGTGCTACTGTGTACAGCACCACACCATGAAGTGTTAAAACCAAACAGTGCTACTGAGTACAGCACCTCACCAAACAGTGTTACCGAGTACAGCACCTCACCATGCAGTGTCACACCAAACAGTGCTACTGAGTACAGCACCTCACCAAACAGTGCTACCGAGTATAGCACCACACCAAACAGTGTCACGCCAAACAGTGCTACTGAGTACAGCACCTCACAATGCAGTGTCACACCAAACAGTGCTACTGATTATAGCACCTCACCAAACAGTGTTACTGTGTACAGCACCTCACCATGCAGTGTCACACCAAACAGTGCTACTGAGTACAGCACCTCACCATGCAGTGTCACACCAAAGAGTGCTACTTTGTACAGCACCTCACCATGCAGTGTCACACCAAACAGTGCTACTGAGTACAGCACCTCACCAAACAGTGCTACTGAGTGCAGCACCACACCAAACAGTGTCACGCCAAAGAGAGCTACTGAGTACAGCACCTCACAAAACTGTCACACCAAATAGTGCTACTGTGTACAGTGCGACACCAAAAAGTGCTACTGTGTACAGTGTCACACCAAAGAGTGCTACTATGTACAATGCAAAACCATACTGCACTAGAACTATGTTCACCAAATTAGCAGATCTAAAAGTGTAAAGTATATATAACAAGGTGCTGATATGTATTTTCTTTTCATAGATATTGTTTATTATAATAAGTATTTGAACATAGATTTTTACATGGTCACAATTGTGCAATACATTGAAATCAGGCTATTTGTATATTCTATTTATCTAATCTTTTTATATAGTATTTATATATGAGTCCAGTAGGCATTGTATATCTGTGCCAAATCAATAGTTTGTTATATTTCTAAATGAGTTTTAATATCTTGAAACAACACTGCTTATTGTTTTCTAAAAATCTAAAGATATACATGTGCTTTTAATACATATCAAAATTTAACAGATACTCACTTCCTCAAAACTTCATGTGCTGATTCCTTTAATCTGAAAGAAAACTTTGATGTCTGAATTTTTTAAATCAAAGATAAATCACTTTATTAAGGAGGTTGAAATAGGGAGATTCCAGATAATTATGTTCGGTTTTTAAATTTATCCAGGATAATAGGGAAATTCCAGAAAAATATGCTGTTTTCAAATTTATTCATGATAATAGGGAGATTTCAGATAATTCTGTTCGGTTTTCAAATTCATTAAGGATAATAGGGAGATTCTAAATAATTATGATCAGTTTTCAATTTTTTCATTATAATGGAGATATTCCAAATAATTATGTTCAGTTTTCAAATTTATTCATTATAGTAGGGGGATTCCAGATAATTATGTCCTGTTTCATATTTATCCATAATAATAGGGAGATTCTAAATAATAATGTTCTGTTTTCAAATTTATTCATGATAATGGGGAGATTGTGATTCAAAATAATTATGTTCAGTTTTCAAATTCATTCATTATAGTAGGGGGATTCCAGATAATAATGTTGTTTTCAAATTTATTCATGATAATGGGGAGATTCCAAATAATTATGTTCTGTTTTCAAATTTATTCATTATGATAGGGGGATTCCTGATAAATATGTTCTGTTTTCAAATTTATTCATGATAATGGGGAGATTCCAGATAATTATGTTCTGTTTTCAAATTTATTCATTATGATAGGGGGATTCCAGATAATTATGTTCTGTTTTCAAATTCATTGATGATAATAGGGAGATTCCAGATAATAATGTTCTGTTTTCAAATTCATTGATGATAATAGGGAGATTCCAGATAATAATGTTCAGTTTTCAAATTTATTCATGATAATGGGGAGATTCCAAATAATTATGTTCTGTTTTCAAATTTATTCATTATGATAGGGGGATTCCTGATAAATATGTTCTGTTTTCAAATTTATTCATGATAATTGGGAGATTCCAGATAATTATGTTTTGTTTTCAAATTTATTCATTATGATAGGGGGATTCCAGAATATTATGTTCTGTTTTCAAATTCATTGATGATAATAGGGAGATTCCAGATAATAATGTTCTGTTTTCAAATTCATTGATGATGATAGGGAGATACCAGATAATAATGTTCTGTTTTCAAATTTATTCATGATAATGGGGAGATTCCAAATAATTATGTCTGTTTTCAAATTCATTCATGATAATGGGGAGATTCCAAATAATTATGTTCTGTTTTCAAATTCATTGATGATAATAGGGAGATTCCAGATAATAAGGTTCATTTTTCAAATTTATTCATGATAATGGGGAGATTCCAAATAATTATGTCTGTTTTCAAATTCATTCATGATTATGGGGAGATTCCAAATAATTATGTTCTGTTTTCAAATTCATTGATGATAAAAGGGAGATTCCAGATAATAAGGTTCATTTTTCAAATTTATTGATGATAATGGGGAGATTCCAAATAATTATGTCTGTTTTCAAATTTATTCATGATAATGGGGAGATTCCAAATAATTATGTTCTGTTTTCAAATTCATTCATGATAATAGGGAGATTCCAGATAATAATGTTCATTTTTCAAATTTATTCATGATAATGGGGAGATTCCAAATAATTATGTCTGTTTCATTCCAAATAATTATGTTCTGTTTTCAAATTCATTCATTATAATAGGGGGATTCTAGATAATAAGGTTCTGTTTTCAAATTCATTCACTATAATAGGGAGATTCCAAATAATAATGTTCATTTTTCAAATTTATTCATGATAATGGGGAGATTCCAAATAATTATGTCTGTTTCATTCCAAATAATTATGTTCTGTTTTCAAATTCATTCATTATAATAGGGGGATTCTAGATAATAAGGTTCTGTTTTCAAATTCATTCACTATAATAGGGGGATTCTAGATAATAATGTTCTGTTTTCAAATTCATTCATGATAATGGGGAGATTCCAAATAATTATGTTCTGTTTTCAAATTCATTCACTAGAAATAGGGGGATTCCAGATAATAATGTTCTGTTTTCAAATTTATTCATGATAATGGGGAGATTCCACATAATTATGTCTGTTTTCAAATTTATTCATTATAATAGGGGGATTCTAGATAATAATGTTCTGTTTTCAAATTTATTCATGATAATGGGGAGATTCCAAATAATTTTGTTCTGTTTTCAAATTTATTCATTATAATAGGGGGATTCTAGTTAATAATGTTCTGTTTTCAAATTCATTCATGATAATGGGGAGATTCCAAATAATAATGTTCTGTTTTCAAATTTATTCATTATAATAGGGGGATTCTGGATAATAATGTTCTATTTCAAATTTATTCTGTTCTACATTGGGTAATGTTGGATTTAATGAATAAGTTGGTGTATTAAAGTAATTGATTTTCAAATTTTGGGGAGATTTCAAAATGTATTATTGTTGGGAAAATTTTCAAAAAATTGGTGGATTTATTTAAATTTTGCAAGGATAGAAGGGAGATTTCAAGATAATTTTATTTGTAAAGATTGGGAGATTTAAAACTATAGGGGATTATTCAAATTTAGTAAAGTTCATAGAGCCCTATTGCTAGGTGATGTTGGGGGTTCCTGAATTGGTATGGTTGGGAAGGGACACACATGTTTGGAACCATAAACCTCCTGGGTTAAGGGATATCTGATAGCCTGTTGTGGACTGAACTGACTTGATCTGACTAGACCAAAGGTGTCACGATCCTCTGGGGAAACCAGGATTAGTGGTAGAGTAAATCTTTGAGGTAGTGTTGCTGGGTAAGGTTGAGTATGTAACCTGTCTGGTGACAATACTTTATGGATTTAAGTTCTCGAGAATGCCCACCTGGTAGATCTGGAGGGGATGTGGTACTGGAGGTTTGGGATTTGATGGGAGGGGAGGAATACTGAAGGCTGGAGGAGACACCACCTTAGGAGTAGGGACAGAACCTCGGTTGTGGACCATCTTTAGTGGGAAAGGCAGGAATGTACCATGCATGAAACAATGGGCTCTATATGATGTGAGGTATGGGTCTTTGGCTTTAATGTGGGAAAGGTCTTTAGGTTTAATTTGGGAAGGGTCTTTGGCTTTAATGTGGGAAGGGTCTTTGGTTTTAATGTGGGATGGGTCTTTGGCTTTAATGTGGGAAGGGTCTTTGGTTTTCATGGTGTGGGATGGGTCTTTGGCTTTAATGTGGGAAGGGTCTTTGGTTTTCATGGTGTGGGATGGGTCTTTGGCGTTAATGTGGGAAGGGTCTTTGGTTTTCATGGTGTGGGATGGGTCTTTGGCTTTAATGTGGGAAGGGTCTTTGGTTTTCATGGTGTGGGATGGGTCTTTGGCTTTAATGTGGGATGGATGGATTTCATGGTGTGGGATGGGTCTTTGGCTTTAATGTGGGAAAGGTCTTTAGGTTTAATGTGGGAAGGGTCTTTGGCTTTAATGTGGGAAGGGTCTTTGGTTTTCATGGTGTTGGATGGGTCTTTGGCTTTAATGTGGGATGGATGGTTTTCATGGTGTGGGATGGGTCTTTGGCTTTAATGTGGGATTGGTCTTTTTCTGTAGCGTGGGGTGGGTCTTTGGCTTTAATGTGGGATGGGTCTTTAGTTTTGATGTGAGATTGGTCTTTTTCTGTAGCATGGGATGGGTCTTTGGCTTTAATGTGGGATGGTCTTTGGTTTTAATGTGGAATTAGTTTTTTTTTTATAGTGTGGGATGGGTCTTTGGCTTTAATGTGGGATGGGGGTTTGCTTTAATGTGGGATTGGTCTTTTTCTATAGTGTGGGATGGGTCTTTGGCTTTAATGTGGGAAGGGTCTTTGGATTTAATGTGGGAAGGGATTTGGATTTAATGTGGGATTGGTCTTTTTCTATAGTATGGGATGGGTCTTTGGCTTAAATGTGGGATGGGTCTTTGGCTTTAATGTGGGATTGGTCTTTTTCTATAGTGTGGGATGGGTCTTTGGCTTTAATGTGGGATGGGTTTTTGGCTTTAATGTGGGATGGGTCTTTGGATTTAATGTGGGATTGGTCTTTTTCCATAGTGCGGGATGGGTCTTTGACTTTAATGTGGGATGGGTCTTTGGCATTAATGTGGGATGGGCCATTTTCTATAATGTGGGATGATCTTTTTCTATAGTGTGGGATGGGTCTTTGGCTTTAATTTGGGATGGGTCTTTGGCATTAATGTGGGATGGGCCATTTTCTATAATGTGGGATGGTCTTTTTCTATAGTGTGGGATGGGTCTTTGGCTTTAATGTGGGATGGGTTTTTGGCTTTAATGTGATTTAATGTGGGATTGGTCTTTTTCCATAGTGCGGGATGGGTCTTTGACTTTAATTGTGGGATGGGTCTTTTTCTTTATGGGTCTTTGGCTTTAATGTGGGATGGGTCTTTGGCATTTTTTTTGGTTTTAATGTGGGATGGTCTTTTTCTATAGTGTGGGATGGGTCTTTGGCTTTAATGTGGGATGGGTCTTTGGATTTAATGTGGGATGGTCTTTTTCTATAGTGTGGGATGGGTCTTTGGCTTTAATGTGGGATGGGTTTTTGGCTTTAATGTGGGATGGGTCTTTGGATTTAATGTGGGATTGGTCTTTTTCCATAGTGCGGGATGGGTCTTTGACTTTATTGTGGGATGGGTCTTTGGCATTAATTTGGGATGGGCCATTTTCTATAATGTGGGATGGTCTTTTTCTATAGTGTGGGATGGGTCTTTGGCTTTAATGTGGGATGGGTCTTTGCTTTAATGAAGGATTGGTCTTTTTCTATAGTGTGGGATGGGTCTTTGGCTTTAATGTGGGAAGGGTCTTTGCTTTAATGTGGGATTGGTCTTTTTCTGTAGTGTGGGATGGGTCTTTGGCTTTAATGTGGGATGGGTCTTTTTCTATAGTGCGGGAAGGGTCTTTGGCTTTAATGTGGGATGGGCCTTTTTCTATAATGTGGGATGGTCTTTTTCTATGGTGTGGGATGGGTCTCTGGCTTTAATGTGGGTTGGGTCTCTGGCTTTAATGTGGGATGGGTCTCTGGCTTTAATGTGGGATGGATCTTTGGCTTTAATGTGGGATTGGTCTCTGGCTTTAATGTGGGATTGTTCTTTGGCTTTAATGTGGGATTGGTCACTGGCTTTAATGTGGGATGGGTCTTTGGCTTTAATGTGGGATGTGTCTCTGGCTTTAATGTGGGATGGGTCTTCGGCTTTAATGTGGGATGGGTCTTTTTCTTTAATGTGGGATTGGTCTCTGGCTTTAATGTGGGATGGGCCTTTTTCTATAATGTGGGATGGGTCTTTTTCATTAATGTGGGATGGGTATTTTTCTATAAGATATAAGATCAAAATTTTCTTTCAAAAGAGGATTCATCCCTTCAAATAACTTTTCCATAGTTGCTCAACAATTAACACTGTAATTTACCTGTACAATTTTCCTGTTGTTTCAAAATTTAGAAAAAAAATATAGTATAGATATTGGAACTCATACTCTATCTGATATCCCACTAATAATGTAAAGATATGAAATTTAAAACTTTCATTCAATATATCTTACCACAAACTGAAGTTTTATATGTTCTATACAAAAGTTCCTCTGAACAATGCCTACAGAGGTAATATTGTTAACAATAAAAGATTGATGGAAACAATTTCTGTTATTGTTCTTATTGTGTATTGTCTACTGACTGGCGTGTTATCACATGGTAATGTCCATCTGTCTGTTGTACACTTTAATTTGTCAACTCCCACTGCTTTTAACTGATCTCTTTGAAACTTAGAAGGTTTATCAACATGGCATCAAAGTTTTGTTTTCTCATTTATATTTCATTCAACAATCTTAGAAAGAGTTGCTGGTCTTTGTTTTTCTTCTGTGTTTTTATTTGTCATCATATCACATATATCAGTTTTTGATAATTTATTTTAAACCTATTTTAGCAAGTGCTTAATAGTATTGTGTGTGGAAATTGAAAATGGAACCAACCAATGACCAACATATTACATTTATGATTCATGTTGATCTATCATTTCTGGTTTAAGTACAGTTATCGGTATTACCAAGTGTGTTTTGTATTCAATGTGGAATCCAATAACATCCAATATATCATGCTCGCTCATAAGCAGGAGGAGCCTGTGTATTCCTGAAAAGCGTTTTGATTCAATAATTTTTGTAGGAGTTATGACTGCTTGTTTTTTTTAGCATGTTCTTTCTCTGGATACTTCTTGTACCTTGACTTGATCTTTCATCCTGACCAACAGAAACAATACCAATATACATAACAAATACATAACAAATTCTTTGAGAAACAAAATTCAGCTGTCAATGTTCATCTGTCTTGCAATATTTTGATTTACTAAGTTTAAACCATGAAAATAGAATTTGAAAAAAAAAGTTATTTAATATTGCTGCAACATTTCTGAAAAAAACTTGAAGAATACTTCAAAAGAATGAGATTGTGTATCAATTTCATGATCAGGCGTGCTACTAAAATGCTACTGATCTAGGGTGATTTCTTTTTAAGATATTTAACACTACGGTAATATTTAAAATAATTAAAAACTGACAGCAGTGTATGATATATGGAACGACACATTCGATAAATTTCTGTAAACAAATTTTTCAGGAATATCAGTTCTCATGACGATTGAATCTTCCATGAAGCCGCTGAACGTTCCGGATTGTGCATGTCCTTACTTTTTTTTGTTACACAAGCTTCCGGTTAATTCCACCGCGAAGTTTCCGAAGTGTCGGCTGTACAGACGTACAATCGGGTGACAGTCATGAACATTGTATGATGTCTGTTGAACCACGAAACACACAGCTGTGTTCGGAAACAACTTCTGGTATGTTTTTACACATTATACGGCTATGACATCTTTCATTGTATGTCCTGGTTGAGAGCTAAGAGCCCTACTATTTATAGACAACATGCCCCATGTAAACAATAACAAAAAGTCTAGAATTGTTATTGTCGACCTTACAAATGGGATGGCGGGCTCTTGGTCAAACGAATTAAGTCTATCTTAATTAAACAGAGTAAAAGGAACAGAGAATAATAAGAATGTTCGATCGGGAGGAATAGGGTGGGACGAGTTGACTCATATTTCCTATTGTGATAATAGTTACTTGCTCTTTGTCATTTTTTGGGTCTTTGTTAGGCATAGTTGTTTTGCATTTGAGTGATATTTAGTGGTTTTAGTTATAAGGTTGTTAACCATATCAACAACCCCACATGCTTGTTTACAATATGAATGGCTTCGTGTAAATTACAAGAAGAAATAATATAGAACTATAAGGATTTTATCAGCGTGCAAGGGCCTTCATAAATATTTAACAGTACAGACATCAATGAAGAGATTGTTTAGTAACCCATACGTACCATTAGGCCATATATCTGTATGTTGACAGTCTTTAAAGGCTCCAAAGTCAAACAAGTTTGGTGTTTGCTTTTTTATGTTTTGTTGAAATACATCAATGACATGAAGGGTTTCTATATGTAATAAATTTGCAAACTTTATGAAAAGTTTCACTGATGATCTTTATAAATTGCCTTCTGTTGTCCGCCATATCAACAAACTTTGGTCAACATGACAGTCACCACAGAAAGGCACCAGTGTGGCTTATATTCCGGTATGGATAATTTGTGGATCAAATCGGGAAAAATTGTTAAAAATTGACTCTGCAGTTTATATACCAGTTGGCTTATACCCCAGAAAATATGGTAAAAGATCAATAAATATTTGTTACAATTAATATACAAGTACTGTGAGAATATATAACAGGTGCCACCACTTAAAGTTCGATCTTTTCCCAAAACTAAATAACGGCAAATGCTAGCCACACTGCTGCTCAAGGTAAGTATGTGTGTATGGTTTGCTGGTCAGTTGCAACAATAATCATAACACAGATTATCTGACTTTTGAATATTTTAACTTCTGTGTGTTGAAGTGTGTTATTTCTACAAATTAAGTTATGATTAAAGTAGGTTATAATGTAGACAAAATTTTACGATTTATTTGTAAAAAATGGATGATCATGATGATGCCTTTTTGTTTAAGAACTTTTTTCTTTACATTTTACAGATGTCTTATAATGATGAAGTTTAATGAACAACATTTTCAGGTATCATCAACAATTTAACACTTAAATGGTAATTAATTGAAATTGACAGGAAAAGTATCAAAGCTTGAGATTATGAGAGTAAGAATGGTAATACATATGTAATCCCTGTGGTATTTCAGTTGGTTCTGACATTTTGTGCGAGTTCCTGGAGGTGACTATCCATTCCATCCTCTACTTACGGGACCTGTACCCACGAGGTGTATTTGAAAAGAGGAAGAAATACAATGTCCCTGTACAGGTAAATAAACAGGTGCTTTTTGTAATCAAGACATTTTTTGTACTTAGTTTACGTGGCAACAAAAGGATCCTTTGAGTCTGTGAATGATTAAATCAAAATGTTTCTCTAATTAAGAACTGACCACACTTATGTTTATTTTATGACTTGTATCTTGATAATTTAAAACTTGTGGCTATCTTGTAATGAAATAATAATTTTTCAAACTATTTTTGGGAAACTTTTTTTTTCAGGTGTTGTAGGGGGGTTGGGAATATGTATTGTGGTATGGTTCTATGTCAGTTTATTCATGTATGTAATTACAAACAATTCCGAATTCTGATCTGCATGACTCTGACTGGTTACCCTTTAGCACCCAGATGTACATGTGTTTTGTATTTTACATGATAAGATTCCTGTATACTGAAATTAAATTAAGTTATTGGCCACATTATAGTAGAGTTATTGCTCTTTGTTTACTGAGTATCATGTTGTTTATGGCATATCTAATACTTTTTCGTACACTCAATCTTAGAATTTTGTATGTCAAATATTCCTTTGGATAACAGAGTGTGTCATGCACACCAAAGCCCTAGCCAGACAATTAAGAGAGTTATGGTCCTTTGTTAATTTTTGATAATTTTATAACTATACAGCATTAGTTTTTAGAGGTGACAATTTTAATTTTGTAGCTACCTTATACATTGGAGAAGGTTTTACTTTATACATAATAGGTTGACATGTTGTAGTTTTTAACTGCTGATAATTTCCTGTTTAACATACTTTTCGCTGTAGATGTGTCTCCATCCTGACGTGTGCAAGTATGTGGTCAATATAGTGGACAGCGTCCATCGACTCAACCAGCTCAACCAGGTGGAGAAAATTGCCATGGTGATTCTAGGATCTGACCATCGACCACTTGAGAGATTTGTGATAGAGATTAGTAAACACTCAGACCACTTAAAAGGGTAGGCAGCTTCAATAGTGGAAATTCAAAGACATAGAAATAGGAGGGTGGTGGTTTTATAGAAGTGAATTTAGAGAAAAAGATACGAGGTAACAGAAATCTGCCATGGTTTACTGAGGCTAAAACATGAAGTGTATTACCAGGTATTGTATGTTGTGATAAAACTCTCTAAATCTTATTGAATGCATTTTATGATTCTTACTTGTGTTTTCTTTCTAACAATGATGAAAAAAGTGTTTATTATGTGCCTGTAATATGACTGCTGTTTACGGAAACAATTACACCCTTTTTCCCAGAGAAAAAAAAACAGGAAAATGAAAGGTAGGCTAAAGTTGACAATGGTGTATTAATGGGTGAATTGGAGATGAGGTGAAAACTGTTTCATGCAAGGGTGAAAAACAAGAGATCCCAGAGGAATCGTGGTACCAACCATTATTATTTGCAGTTTAAAACTGTGAGCTATTCTCTTCTTTTCCCTTATTTACTCATAATTGTTTAAATTTGAGAATTCCCTTCAAGAAATAGCTACAGCAATCTTAAACTGTCAAGGTGAAGATCGTTGCCTGTCAGTACAGTATTTTGTTTTTCTGACAGTCCCAAAATCAAAAGGGCACTACAAAGGACTAATAGAAACCTACATATGAAATTTGAGACAGATCCATGCAGTTCTTCTTAAGAAATAGTGATAATAAACTTTCAATGTAATAATCTAGCATGGGTGTCTGATGGCCATTTTATTTCTGTGATCAGACTGAAAATTGATTGTGCACAGCTAGGAACAGGAAGGAACCTACATATGAAATGTGAGACAGAACTTCCTAAAAAATATTGATAACGAACTTTCAGTGTCAAATCCAAGATGGCCGTCTGTTGGCCATTTTGTTTTTCCTAGCAGACTAAAAACTGAAAGGGCACAATTGAGGAATTAGTGAAACAAACTTTCATTGGCAAAATCCAGGATGGTTGCATGTCTGATAAGTCCCAAAATCAATACTGCACAACTAGGGACCTTGCACAACAAGGGAACAAGGGGAATCTACATATGAAATTTGGGAATGATCCTTCTCTAGAAATAGTGTTAACAAATTTTTAGAGTTGTAATCCAAGTTGGGTGCCAGTCAGCCATTTTTTTTTCTTTGGGTAGTCCTTAAATCAAATGAGTGCAACTAGTAGCCAAGGGTAGGTAGATATGCAATTTGAAAAAAATATGTCTATCCAATAGTTCTCCAGAAGTAGTGATAATGAACTATTACTGTCAAGATCCAAGATTGTTAACTGTAGGCAATGTTGCTTATGGGATTAGTCCTAAAATGGGAAAATGCACAACTATAGGTACCAAGGGGAACCAACCACTGAGATTTGGAAAAAGTCCATCCATGGGTTCTCCAGAAATGGCAATAACAAGAATTGTGTAAGAGCATACCACTGGACTACGGACAATGGACCATAGGTGCAGGGTCTTTTAAATAGTCTGCCATGTGATGATGGTGGGCTAAGATCCAGGGCTGAAGTTTCTCAAACAATATTTTATCTCCACAGAGATGATCGTTACCTGTATCAGTTAGAGCAGTCTTTGCGTGCCTTCCTTCTCAAACTGACGGTCAGTGATGCTCTTCTCCAGCCACTCCCTAAAGGTACAGTCAAATTTGGAATATAAAGACAACCTACTGTGTTAGTGTATTGTTAAAGGATACCTATTTGAGATCGAATGGAGTTGTTGAAATTTCTTCCCTTCCAAAATGAAAACCTAACTTTTGATCCATTAGAGATGAATCTTGAAACATAATTGTATCTCTAGCAGGATGTGTGTAATGCACTAAAGTTAGGTCTTTGTGACCATCTGTGATCAAAAGTCAAATAACTGAAAAACATTCAGCACATTCTTTTCTGGGCCATACTTAGTCAAAGATATCATAATAAACTGCTTAACACACAGATACTCTGCAGTGACTTGTGCTGTTTTTCAGATTGCACATGGACTATACAAATCGAAACAACAGAATCAGCAGCTAACAACATCAATGATCACCAGATGATTCAGGTAAATAACTACAGGTAGGATATGGATTACCAAATCTATTGTAGTAAGACACTACAGGTAGGATATGGATTACCACATCTATTGTAGAAAAACACCACAGGTAGGATATGGAATACCACATCTATTGTAGAAAAACACCACAGGTAGGATATGGAATACGAAATCTATTTTAGTAAGACACTACAGGTGGGATATGGAATACCAAATCTGTTGTAGAAAGACACTACAGGATTGAGGAAGGAAATGGATTACTGAATCTATTGTAGTAAGACACGACAGGTAGGATATGGATGTCCGCATCTGTTGTAGTAAAACTCTACAGGTAGGATATGGATGACTGAATCTGTTGTAGTAAGATGCCACAGGTAGAAATGGATGACTGAATCTGTTGTTAGAGGTAACAACAGTTAAGATATGGTTGAATTTGTTGTAGTAAGTAATCACAGATAGGGTATGGATAACTGGCTGTTTTTGGAGGTAACTACAGGTAGGATATAAATGACAGGATATAAAATCACAGGTATGATATGGATATCTTAACTATAAAAGTTACATGTACATTAAGTGTGCAATTACAGTATGGGCTTGAAAAAAGATCTGGTCACATAAAACCAGAAACATGTGTCATGCATTTAGTCCATACATGCTCACTAAAACACAGCTGAGCAAAGTTGAGACAAAAGTGGGGATATGATAAATTTAACCAGTAGATAGTGTTGAGGAATAATGTGAATTATATATGATAGTATATAGTGTCATGGAATTCATAGTCTCGTTAGTGGTCATCAGTAGAGAGGTTTATAGTTAGATATGCCCTAAATCCTCAGATGTAAGAATGTTTGTGTAAGATTTGTCACAAATTCCTGAGTAGACTTTATATTTATCTCCAACATGGTGGTGGGGGGAATATCTCTTTAAGTTTTATACTTGGTAAAATTTTGATGTTATGGTTCAAGCTATATTTAGTAATTTAGTACATAATGTAAATGAGGATTTTATGTTAGAAATCATGTGAAGAGTATCATCTCTGATAATACAGATGTACACTAAAGTACACTTAAATATCTCAAAACCATAGAAGGTTCAGTGAGCTGGCAAATTTCCAGATCCAGCACTCTATTCTCTTTTTGATTTTGAACATGTTTTACCAGGGATTTCCTTGGGTAGAAGCTGAAGGAAGGGAGACAAATCTAGCTGAGCCCAATATTGTCCCTCTGAAATCAGTGACGTCTGACTATATAAAGGTAAGGAATGTGTATTCTTTTCACTCTAGTCAACAACATTATTGTCTATATAAAGGTGTCTGAATATATAACAATGAGGATTGAAGGTGGTGATGTCTGGCTATATAATGGTGAGGATTGAAGGTGGTGACATCTGACTATATATTGGTGAGGTTTGAAGGTGGTGACGTCTGACTACATAATGGTGAGGATTGATGGTGGTGATGTCTGACTATATAATGGTGAGGATTGAAAGTGGTGATGTCTGACTATATAATGGTGAGGATTGAAGGTGGTGATGTCTGACTATATAATGGTGAGGATTGAAGGTGGTGATGTCTGACAATATAATGGTGAGGATTGAAGGTGGTGATGTCTGACTACATATTGGTGAGGATTGATGGTGGTGATGTCTGACTATATAATGGTGAGGATTGAAGGTGGTGATGTCTGACGATATAATGGTGAGGATTGAAGGTGGTGATGTCTGACTATATAATGGTGAGGATTGAAGGTGGTGATGTCTGACTATATAATGGTGAGGATTGAAGGTGGTGATGTCTGACTACATAATGCTCAGTAATGCTCTGTCTTAGATCTACCCCATGGCAGCATATTAATCATCAAATTTAATACCAGCAATTTTCAGAGAATGTATATTATATGTCTGTATAAAACATGTTATTTCTTTTTGACCTCAGTTGTTGCTTGTTCATAAGAATGGATTTTTCCATTTTTTCACTTTTTGCAGTTTAATTATACAGAACATTACAGAAGTGGTTCACTCAGTAGAAATGGCATAGATACATGTAAATACTCTACAGTATACTGTGAGAGATGTTTATAAATAATATGACACTTTAATTTGTTTCAGATGCAAATGTTTGTTGAAGAGACCACAGAGAAAAAATTACACAACTCCTGACATAGTAATAGTTCCTGGAGAGAACTTCTGACAACACAGTTGGTTACTCAGTGTTTCTAAAGAGTCCTCAAGAGAACTTTCAACAGTACCACGGAATCCTGAGTGGACTTCAGAGCTTTCTTAAGAGAGTTTTGAAAGAACTTACACCATTAATGTCTTCCTGGCAACTTCTTTCCTCAACCTTCAGGTAGTTTTTGGGGAGTCAACAACAGTGTTTTCCTAACAACCTCTTTCTCTAAAGAGAGATTCTAGCGAGGACTTTGACATTAGTGTTCCTAGCAATTTTCTTTTCTATAGAGATTGATCAAATTTGATACAAATGCCAAGTTTGACATTACATCGGATGACCTCATGTATCAGGGTTCAAAGGTCAATGTCACTGTTATAGATCTTTTTTGTTAATCATGTTATAATTGTTTTGTTAATGGATATTTTTCTTTTTTTAATTTTGTTTTGACATAAGAATAAAAACATATCAATAAAAGTAAACAAAATTCTGTTTGTTATTTGATACTTTAATTGATAACCTCCAAAACAGAATGAGTATTTACATGCAATATGGCATAACAACTGAACACAACAAATTCATTCATTACATAACTAAATCTGCCAATCTATATGTAGAGTGTACTCTAGCTAAACTAGGTTTTTATAGAGACACAAGTAAAACAATGTAGAGTCTACCCTCGCTTAACTATGTTTTTCTTGAGGCCATATATTTTTTGTGGTATGTTACTACATAGCAATTATTGTGGATGCACAGATTAATCATCATGCTTATTCAACAAAAAGTGAGAATACACTGAAATTTGATTATCGGAACCCTTTTCTACTCTCTAACAGCCGATGGTCTGCTGTATATACTGATGGTCAAAATCCTCCAATTAACCTTTACCCTATACAGACTGGTGTACTGTTGTTCCACATCCTCTAATTGACCTTTAATCTATACAGACTGGTGTACTGATGTTCCACATCCTCTAATTGACCTTTAATCTATACAGACTGGTGTACTGATGTTCCACATCCTCTAATTGACCTTTAATCTATACAGACTGGTGTACTGATGGTCCACATCCTCTTATTGACCTTTAACCTATACAGACTGGTGTACTGACGGTCCACATCCTCTTATTGAACTTTAACCCTTACAGACGACAGGTTTATCTTTTTACCTCAATGCATCCTTGAGTAAATGTTAACTTCATCACATGCATCACAGTTCAGCTGCACACAATCTGAGAAAGTGAAAGAACTTTTGATTGAGATCTAAGAAAGTCCAGAGGAAGATGATCATCTTCTCTATGTAGTAGGTACTACCATTCTGACTGGTTTGATGCTACTGGCATCAGCAACACTTGCTCCACACAGAGGGCAGGAAAACCCTGGATCAGCTTTATAGTTGCTCTGAAATATATACACTGGTTGTTGTAGTAATTGTAACCATGGCGAATGAATTAGATTAGTTCGCTGGGTTTATCACCCCAAACAGCAAGGGTCATTTTAAAGAGGTGTCTCCTTATAGTTACTGGTGGCTACCTCACTGAACAACAAAGGGGAGGCCTGTAGTATGCCATCCACGGCACTTGTTCTTAAGTGTCTTACCACACAAGTATTTCAGCACATACCAGTCTGTTTTTCAGCTTCCTGAAAAACACAAACCACAATGTGAAGAGAGCGTTGAACCACACACCTCAGATCTTCACTTGAGGTTACGTAGACAAACGCTCTTCTGACTGTACTATTGTGGCTCCTTATTGTACTAGAAGCAGTTAGCAGTCTGGTGTATCTCACCATCTGAATCTCTATATGCTTAACAACATTGTCTCGAAGATTTGTGTGAGTCATAACTTTTAAAAGACTCCTAACAATTTTTTAATGACACTTAAGATTTGTTATCATTGGTAAATTATCACCTAAAACCAGTGGTGTCATAAATCTTCAGGTCAAGGACACAGTAAAAGCATAAAAAAAGAATACCTACCATCTTCAGTACATTTACATGTATTTATGTTAAAGGAAAACCAATAGATATACGTATATCATAGTAAACACACACACTGTAAAAGTTTCCAATTATAAATGGTTCACAATTTCACGGTCATATGTTTGAAGAAAAAAATATGAATTTTTCACTGAAAGCTTGAAATCAACAACTAGTTTTTGCTGTTGTTGTTGATATCTTTTTTATGATATAAATTTTTCACATTTTATTTCAACCTCAAAAAAGTATAACATTGGACCCCTTGAAAAATACACAACAGGAAATGTATAATCTGACCAATAACTTCTGAGGAGTTGAAATATTCAATCAGCTGTTTGAAACCTTAACTACATATCACCTACAGCCTTCAGCAATATTGGTTTTACTATACACCCAAATATTAGGAGAGCTCACCTCTATACAGTAATAGCAGAAGACATGGACGCAGCTGATTTCCCGTGCGTTGGTTGGATTGTCACCACACACAGCACATTTCTCTAGTTTACGACTTGTTAGGTCTGTAGATGGTTTACTTACAGGTAACACTCGTCTCATCACAAAGTTTTTTAGGCGTTGGAAATTAATTAATGGCAGTACAAAGAAAAGGAATTCCTGAAACATAAGAAAAATACACTTATTTACCTTTAGATGTAAGTTCCTTTTCTACTTACAGTGTCCATACCCTATACGTTTTGAAGTTTTAACTGTTGTTTTCTGTTCAAAGCATGTTTTCTTAAGGGACTGTTCACCAATATAACCAAGTGACCAGCATTTGCAAGTTTTTATAAGATATAAAATACCAGTCATTCACATCTCATACAGGTTTTTGTATGCTATAAGTACCCACCATTCACACCTCATTCAAGTTTTTGTATGCTATAAAATACCCAGTATTCACACCTCATACAAGTTTTCTGAGCTATAAAGTACCCACCATTCACACCTCATTCAAGTTTTTGTAAGCTATGAAATACTTGCCATTAACACCTCCTACAATGAAACTTGTCCTGTTTACCTACAAACACTTTCTGTGGGTTGTATAAACTCAAAGAACATGATATCATTTTAGGTACAAGAGATCCCCCAGGGACCTTAGTGCCCACTATTGCATGATATCTCTCACTCCTGTGTAAGTTATATCACCTTGACAGGTAAATCAAACATGGGCATCATCAGTAAATAACTATGGTATAAAGAAGGGGCCATAACTCTATCACCTTGAAGCAGTTGCTTGTAGTGGAAATTTGGCATTCTAGCTGACTGCCTGGTATATTCCCATGAAAATTAAACTTAACTGTGAACAAATACCATACCTCTGTAAAAATTAAGATACAAGATATAATTTGAAACTTCAGAAACGTTGAAAACACAAGGACAAATTTATAGAATTAGTACAAATCTATTGATGGACACCCATTAAACAGTCTTATAATACAACATATATACTCACTGAGAATCCATGCCATAATAATTCTCTGGTCATAAATTCAAAGCTGACCTGAAATAGCCAAGGGTATAATTAATTACACAGAACTAGAAAATTATATTGTAATGAACCTGACATCACATATTAATCACACGAGCATTGATTCTTCTGTTTTTTCTGAACAGTGTGTAAATAAGGAACACATAAATATTTCTAAATTCATTTATTTGCAGCAATCACCATCTAACCACCACATTTTACTAAACATACTTATTTCAGCATTTAACTGATTTCAGAGTCTGAATTCATGGGCAATATAAATTTTCATTGGATACCGTCAAACTAAACATCTTTAACTATATGGCATTGATAATGTCCAGGAATACCAGCCTAACTTAAAATTTGTACATATGTGGATTATCAGGTAATCATTTTTTAATTTTTGATTTGTTATAAGGGGAGACAATCTCAATGTATTTACATTGCTCACTTTATTTCTTAATACCACACAATGGTAAATAATTGAAATAAGTCAATGGGAAAGTACATCTTTGACTTAGTATTGGAGTGGGCTTATCACAGGACAAATATCTTTTGTTGGTATTTCTACTGAAACTACAATACTGAGGGGGATGGCTTATTACCAGGGATATCCTTATCACTATGAAGTGACTTATTACTAGGGAAGGACTTATTGTATGAATGTACCTGTCTGACGCCTTGCTGATTCGGAAACATTGCTCTGATACCCAGAATTCTCTCTACCAGGGCTCTGTAAACACCTTGCCGCAGAAACACTAGGAAGTTGATAAGTGCTGCCACCTTGAGGCCAGTCTCGGTCCAATGTAGCAGCTGCTGAACCTGTGAAGAGAATCAGGTCTGTTTGTCAATAGCAAATCACCTCTGTGTTACACAGACTGAGATATCTCTATCTAAGAGTATGATCTTAAAATTTAGCACATGTCTGTATTAACCGATGAACATCACTTTGTTATATTTTCATGTTTGATCTTGTATAATTTAATCTATTGTGACATTATTGTATGAAAATGAAAAGACGTCACCAATTAGTGAAATACGTTATGACATCACAATGAAGACCACAGCTAAATACGACTCTGATAATGCTACAAAAGTATACCTTTTCTGTGATATTTACAAAAATAAAACAATCATTCTTCTGATAAAAAAGATAGCTTTTGTGCCTTTACTGTATCTGTGAGTATTATTAGATTCACATTCAAAGCTGTCTGATTTTATCATGCATTTCTGAATCCGGTGACAACTTACCCTGTGTTGTGAATCCCCCAGGACCTTCAGAGTCTGGTAACAACTTACCTTGTGTTTCCAATGTGACAGCTTTAACATACTGAGGACATCATCAGATCTCTCCTTGAACCAGGGACATCCAATCAGAATTAAAGCATAAAGTATTTTTTGTCGTGTGCCAAGCCAAGGTCCAGCCCCCTGGCCATTCTCACTGGCATATCTGAGATTAAGGATTTGCTGACCAATCGTACAGTCATGGGTGAAAATGGAAAACTGTAACATACAAACAATAAACAATCTTATTCTCATGATGTGTTTTATAAACTGGAATAAAATTTGCCATAACCTGAGTTAATACTTTCTCAAATATTGTAAAAGTTCCAAAAATCCCGGTTATAATGTAGAATGCACAGATCATCTTACTGGCCTTAGCTAGTGTGAATTTCTCTTAAAGTCAAGAGGTAAAGTGTTAGGCTACAGAATGGTCCCATAGCAAGGGCAAGGTGTTTTCATTATTATTTCCTATAACAAATCTGGAGCTATCGACCACATCAAATGTAGAAGATATAGACAAGTGCTTCCTTTGAGATATTAAGTTGAGGCAGAAGACTTTGTGAAGGAGGGAGTACGGTTGAAGTTGAGAGCCTTTCTAGCCTCAGCTAGTGGGAATATTTTTCATTACTCCTTTTGACTACAACAATAGAATTCCATTGAATTTATGCTATTATAGTTTCCAAATTTATATATATATTGGAGTTACCTCCCTTCCAATAATATGGTTATCATTTCAAAGTAAGGTTCCTGTTGACTCCTACTGATTTACCAGGTATTCATTTCAATGATATTTTTAATATGTCTCAAAATATTTCCTATAAAACTTGTTGAGATGATGATCACCAATTATGATAAAAATAAATGATTTAACTTGATTCGAATTCAGGAATTACCACATATATGACAAAACCGCAAACACTAAACCTTTTTATGACTCTATAACCTTACACAAGGTCATACTACCCATGTGTTCTGATTCAAGGTCAAAAGGTCAACTTTAACACTACTTTTGCTGATTGGAGAAACACTACACTTAAATAGTATACAATTTTTAACCCATGATTTCCTCTGTTGTAATTTATAAAACTATACCAGGTAAGTCCACAGTTCTTATCAGCAGACATAAGTAAAACCCATTCTGTTACTAAGATTTCTTGAAATGCTTTTTACATTTATTATGATCACCAATCAAGTGTCAAGAATCAGGACACAGTTTTGACATTGTACCTACAGAGAAGTTGCATTATAAAATGTCACGGATATGTCATTTGAGAAATTCACAAGTATACATTTAGATTTGGTTTTAAGACTCTGAACTCATTTTTCCATTAAACAGCTGTTCACAATAAGGGGACCACAGCAGTGTCAAAGGGCTGACATTAAGTTGGTGGACCCAGAAAGGGGGCTGGAGAACTGTGGATTGTGAGTTGGCAGTGTAGAGAAGGGGTTCTGAGAATTGTGGATTGTGAGCTGATGGGGGTAGAGAGTGGGTCCTGAGAATTGTGGATTGTGAGCTGATGGGGGTGGAGAGTGGGTCCTGAAAATTGTTGATTGTGAGTTTGTGTGGATAGAAAATGGGTCCAGATAGTTGTTGATTGTAAGTTGGTGGGGGTAGAGAGGGGGTCCAGACAGTTGTGCATTGTGAGTTTGTGTGGGAAGAGAAAGTGTCCAGATAGTTGTTGATTGTGAGTTTGTGTGGGTAGAGAAAGGGTCCGGACAGTTGTGCATTGTGAGTTTGTGTGGGTAGAGAAAGTGTCTAGACAGTTGTGCATTGTGAGTTTGTGTGGGTAGAGAAAGGGTCCGGACAGTTGTGGATTGTGAGTTTGTGTGGGTAGAGAAAGTGTCTAGACAGTTGTGGATTGTGAGTTTGTGTGGGTAGAGAAAGTGTCCGGACAGTTGTGGATTGTGAGTTTGTGTGGGTAGAGATTGTGAGTTTGTGTGGGTAGAGAAAGTGTCCGGACAGTTGTGGATTGTGAGTTTGTGTGGGTAGAGAAAGGGTCCCAACAGTTGTGGATTGTGAGTTTGTGTGGGTAGAGAAAGGTCCCAACAGTTGTGGATTGTGGGCTGGTAGGGGTAGAGAAAAGATCCCAAAAGTTGTTGACAGTGAGCTCATGGGGGTAGAAAAGGGGTCCTGAGAGTTGTGGATTGTGAGTTGTTGGGGGTATTGAGTAGGTCCTGAGAGTTGTGGATTGTGAGACAGTTGAGGTAGAAAGGAAGTCCGGAGAGATGTTGGGCATTGTTGATATAAAGGAGGTGTTGGGCCCTTTAAAGTTATAACTTACATTCGTTATATTGATCAAATCAGAAGAAAGAGCTCTTTGTCAGCGCGGTTTGCTATGAAGTAGACACTTTCTATGTTTCTATGTCTATTTGTTTAAATCAAACTATGGACTGAATAATAATGAAGGAAATGAATATTACATAAGACCTGAGTTTGAATACACTGTGTCATGAAAGCAATTATTCTAGTAGTTTTAAAGGAGATCCTTTTCATTTTCAAATCCACCTGTTTGTGCTGTACACATGTACGAGCACTAGAATGGTAGATACAGAAGTACCTTAAAGTCATGAATTCTTAAAGTTAAACACAAAACAAATAAAATATGAACAGCTAATATGTATATTTCTCAGCTCTTTCATAGTTAAATGCTGGAGTCAAGTGTTGAACAACACCACACTCTACACAGATATTCTGGATTAATGTCGATGTAACTGTATTAAATTCTTAATTTTAGAAATTCTGTGTAACAGAAACCTACTAAACACTTAACATCACCAGTCTGTCACTGGTGTTTTTTATTGCATAAAATTAATTTGTTTTGCAGCAAGCATGAAGCAACTTATTTTAAGTAAATCAAATGTGAAAAAAATCATTCTTTACCCTAACATCAGCCATCCCCCTCTCCACCCCCTTCTGCCCTTCTATTTCAACAAAAAACCAATAACCTTCAACCAAACTAAAGTCAGAGTAAATTTGTTTTAACACCATATCACGTCATATACGCAGCATTTGCCATTTTTTTCTCTTACATCCAAGCATTTTGGTGATAAACATGGTACATGGTACATAGTACAAGTCGTCAACTGCAAATTTTTCAAAAAATGGTGTACATTGTTTAAGGAACTCTAGATATAGTATTACCATGGTAATAAAGGTGTATTTCTGGAGCAGCAATATCCTTCACACAGTACACACACTCAGTAATAACACTTACACACTACTGAGGTAATTTGTTTGTCTTCAGCTGACTTTCTGTGCACCGGAAACAAACTTAATTTGGTACAATCTTGTACAGAGCTTTTATCACTATTTGGGAAAATAAATCAACAACAAGATGCATACCATCACAACATGAGTTTAAGTCAAATTCAGTAAAATGACAGTGAAGTATGAACAAGGTAAAGATTTACAGGCAGACTTTTGAAAAAATACCACGATCATAGGATCCAGTATTCCAGAAAGGTAAAACAGGTATTTCAGAGGGGTAAGCAGTTGGTTTGGGAATCTTGGGTCAGTTTGGGAATCTAGGGTCAGTGTGGGAATCTAGGGTAAGAGTGGGAATCTAGGGTCAGTGTGGGGATCTAGGGTAAGTGTGGGAATCTAGGGTCAGTGTGAAATTTTATGGTCAGTGTAGGAATCTAGGGTCAGTGTGGAATTCTAGGGTCAGTGTGGGAATCTAGGGTCAGTGTGGGCTTCTAGGGTCAATGTAGGAATCTAGGGTCAGTGTGGAATTCTAGGGTCAAATTCTAGGGTCAGTGTGGAAATCTAGGGTCAGTGTGGGAAGCTATGGTCAGTGTGGGAATCTAGGGTCAGTGTGGAATTCTAGGGTCAGTGTAGGAATCTAGGGTCAGTGTAGGAATCTAGGGTCAGTGTGGGAATCTAGGGTCAGTGTGGGAATCTAGGGTCAGTGTGGGAATCTAGAGTCAGTTTGGTAATCTAAGGTCAGTGTGGGAATCTAGGGTCAGTGTAGAAATCTAGGGTCAGTGTGGGAATCTAGGGTAAATGTAGGGATCTAGGGTCAGTGTGAGAATCTAGGGTCAGTGTATTAATTCAGATTCAATGTTGGGATATGAGGTTGTTGTTGGAATTAAATCACTCAGATGTGAGGGTCATGCTACAACTGTACTAATAAGTACCTATATCCTATATCAGCCCTTTCCTATATAAACATCTCTGTACAAATTCTCAACAATCATTGATGAGATTTGTATTTTGGCCCCTCTGTCCCTAGACCCACTGAGAAAAGGAAATGGCTCTGATATTGATCAATTCTTTAATCATTTATAGTACATTCTGTTTTGGGATCAGGTTCTCTGACTCTATAATACAACTCAACCTAAGGGGAGTGACAAGCCTTTAATCAGGCTCGGCCCCTCTGTCCTTACACCCACTATTTATACAAAAGTGAGAGCCCTTCAACTGAGACCAGAGCAAATTTGGTTAAAGTCAATGTGGGTATTCTTGACAAGTAGCTTATAGAAGTTGACAGACAGATAGACAACAGGTGAATGCTGTGTTTTGACATCTACTCATTGACCCTCTACAATATCAGCTAACAAAATACCAGTTGGGCCTGTATCTGTCATTTATTCCTATTAGTTGTCTGATTTCTGTGAGCTTTAAAGGAGGAATGTCAAATTCATTGAAATGAGATTTTTGTAGAAGACATCATTATGGAGAGAAGATCTTGCCAAAATAATTTTTACTCAAACAACTATCAAATGTTATCCAAGACATTCATGTACATTTTGTAGGCTCCAAACTTTATACTCTTATTCTAGAATATTATTGAGACTGTCATATACTACTGACTCTGGGACTCTGATTATTTTGAAGAAATTTTTCTGAAGATTTTAATGCATTGGAATCCTGTTACCTTTAAAAAGGATCAAGGTCATTTCAATGAACAAACTTCATAGCCCTTCATTCCAGTATGCTATATAGTAATCCTCAGTGTCTTCATTAAGTGAGTTATTTAGGCAGTGAAAGTATGTCCAGATATTTCATCAAACAAAATAGCCTTTTATCCCAGTATACTACTGGCCAAGTATCATTACCCAAGGGTTTATGGTAATTGAGAAGAGTTTGTTTGAAAGAAATGGCTGACCTGTAGACAGGAAGTTCAACAGAAAAATTCTGGACACTTCATCATGGTATAAGTCTATAACGTGTCCTTCTGACAGGTCAGCATATATTCTGTATAATAATTCTTTGGTTG